GAATATCCACTGTTTGTTGCAGTGCGCTGATATTGCGCCACTGCACTCCAGCCTGGGTGACAGAGCAAGACTGTCTCAAACAAAACAAAACCAAAAAGCCCCAAAGTTTTATGGACAAAAGTGGACTCAACCTTCTTGGAGCCTGCAATTGACCTATCTTTAATCTGATAATCACAGAAACTGTACAGGGAGCAATGAGATGGTCTAATTGAGACCCGACCATAACTGAGATGCAAAACAAGGAGTCAAGTAGGCACAGGAGGGAGTGGTGAGGAGAAGAGAGGGAAAGCATTCTAGCCATGGAGATGGCAAATTCAAAGGCCTGTGGTAGATGGGGCATGGTATGTTTGAGGAACTGAAAGAGGGCAGGATCACGCATACTTTATATGCCATGTGAAGAATTTTGGTCTTTATCCTAAAAGCAATGAGAAGCTATGGAAGTGTATTTTCAACAGGGGAAGGACATTATCAGGTTTGAATTTTTAAAAGATAATTTAATAGTTATGTCTAGACTTAGGTGTCCAAGGTTGGGTTGAGAATAAGAGTGGATGCATAGTATAGTCAATTAAGAAAACACTGTAGTTGTCTAGGTTAAAAATATTGGTATTTTAGACTAAGGTAGTGGCAATGCCTGAGATGGGAAGGCTAAAATATACATGAGAGAGATTTAGGAGTTCAAGTTCACAGTTCATACTGATGACTGGGCAGGGGGTGAGGAAGAGGGAGGGGCCAAGGACAATGTCTCATTTTCTGGCTGAACAGTGTAAGCACTGACTGGCACAGGACCAGGTTTGGAAGGAAGAATGTGAGCTCAGTTTTGGGCTTGTTGATTTTGAGGTGGCTTTGAGAAATCTATGTGGATGCAAAGCTGTAGGGTTGGGAGTATAGGCCTGGTCTGGGAATATAAATTTGGGAATCTTTGGAACATGGATGGTAATTGAAGACAGGGACATGGAGGAGCTCACCAGAGAGACTATGGAATGAGAAAAGAGGTATGTAGGTACTGAATCTCAAGGAATTCCAGCCTTTAAAGTCCAGGGAGATGCAGAGAAGCCAACACAAGGGTAGCTGAGTAAGAGATAGGAGCAGAGGGCGGGTCAGAAACCAGTAGAGTATGATTGATGTCCCCCTAGCCAAGGACAGTGGTCAGTACCTTCTATTGATTTTTTATTTTTTTTTCTTAGAGGGAGTGTCTGTCACTCAGGCTGGAGCGCAGTGGTGCGAACTTGTCTCACTGCAACCTCTGCCTCCTGGGTTCAAGCGACTCTCCTGCCTCGGCCTCCTGAGTAGCTGGTACTACAGGCATGTGCCAATGTGTCTGGCTAATTTTTTCGTATTTTTAGTAGAGACAGGGTTTCGCCAAGCCAGGCTAATCTCAAACTCCTGACCTTAAGTGATCCACCCGCCTCGGCTTCCCAAGGTACTGGGATTACAGGTGTGAGCCACCATTCCTGGCCCCATATACTGGTATTAATGTCAACCAGAATAAGGACTGACATTTGCATTACATTGCATCATATATGGATGCATAGGAGAACACTTATAGGCCCAGATGGAGCTATTTTGGAGATGTGAAAATGGATCCAGAGGAGCTGAGGAATGCCTGGGAAGATAGGTGTGAGAAGCAAACTATGTGGGTACGGGAGGATTTCAAGAGTCACTTATGTAGTCGTCTTAGTTCAGGCTACTGTGACAAAATATACCATAGGCTGAGTAGCTTAAACAACAAACATTTGTTTGGGAGGTCCAAGATCAAGGTGCCAGCAGATCCAGTGACACCTGCTTCTTGGTTTGCAGGTGGCTGCTTCTTGGTTTGATCCTGCTTCTTGGTTTGCAGATGGCTGTCTTCTGGCTATGTCCTCACATGGCAAGAGCAGAGAGAAAGAAAGAGAGCAAGCTCCCTTTTGTCTCTTTTTATAAGGGCACTAATGCCATCGCGAGGGCTCCAGCGTCATAACCTAACTACCTCCCAAATGCGCCACCTGCAAATATCATCACAGTAGAGACTAGAGATTCACAATATGTAATTAGCAGGGACGGCTGGGCATGGTGGCTCATGCTGGTAATCTTGGCACTTTGGGAGGCCAAGACGGCAGGATCACGAGGTCAGGAGTTCGAGACCAGCCTGGACAATATGGTGAAACCCCATCTCTACTAAAAATACAAAAATTCGTCGAGTGTGGTGGCATGTGCCTGTAATCCCAGCTACTCTGGAGGCCAAGGCAGGAGAATCGCTTGAACTCAGGAGGTGGAGGTTGCAGTGAGCCAAGATCGCACCATTGCCCTCCAGCCTGGGCAACAAGAGTGAAACTCTGTCTCAAAAAAAAAAAAAAATTTAGCGAGGACACAAAACACTCAGTTCACAGCATTAGTCTTCTTAGCACAGAAGTGAAATAATGCAATTAGGAAAGAAATACTAGCCTTTTCAGAATGGTAGAGTAGAACATGAAATTGTAACTTCTTTTCAAGATTGCTAACTTGAATGCAGTCTGCTAATCATAGAGTTTTGGATTGCATTTCCAATTTTTTTTTTTTTCAAATTACTAGGATAAAATGCATTTTGGTTGCTTTTGAAGCAGATCTTCCTCTTAGAAATTACATGTATGGTAGGCTGGGCGTAGTGGCTCATGCCTGTAATCCCAGCACTTTGGGAGGCCAAGGCAGGCGGATCACTTGACGTTGGGAGTTCAAGACCAGCCTGACCAACATGGAGAATACCTGTCGCTACTAAAAATACAAAATTAACTGGGCGTGGTGACACATGCCTGTAATCCTAGCTACTTGGGAGGCCAAGGCAGGAGAATCGCTTGAAACTGGAAGGTGGAGGTTGCAGTGAGCCGAGATCATGCCATTGCACTCCAGCCTGGGCAACAAGTGCAAAACTCTGTCTCAAAAGAAAAAAGAAAAAAAGAAATTACACGTGTGGTGGCACCTGACAGCTGCATCTGTCTGACAACTTTGCTGTGGTACTTCACGGAAGTCTATGATTTCAAATGAGCTGTTTTCCTTTTGTATAGGTTTATTTTTCTTTTCCCTTTTTTTTTCTTCCCAGGCTGATGAGCCCTGAAAACACACTCCTGCAGCCCAGGGAGGAGGAAGGGGTCAAGTATGAGCGCACCTTCATGGCATCTGAATTCCTGGACTGGCTGGTTCAGGAAGGTGAGGCCACCACAAGGAAAGAGGCAGAGCAGCTTTGCCACCGGCTTATGGAGCATGGCATCATCCAGCATGGTGAGTGTATTGGGCAGCTTTTGCTGTAGTAACAAGCAGCCCCAAATCTTGTGTCTTACAACAAGTAGTTATTTCTCACTCATGAATCTGTAAGTCAGTGGCACCTCTGCTTATGTTCAGCTTGTCTTCAAGCTGGGGGTCAAGTTCAGGTCTGTGCTCCATGCCTTTCCATTCTGGGACACAGACTAGAGGAATATCCACTGTTTGTGATGTGTTGTTTTCAACAGATGGTTGCAGATGCTAAAGAGGGCAGGCAAGTTCTTATAGCACCTCCAAAAGCTGCTGCTTGGATGTAATGTAACATCACAACTCTGTATCTAACTGGCTAAAGCAAGTCATGAAGTCAAGTATAATATGGAGTTGGGAAGTAGATGCCTCCCAGAAGGTTGGTTGTTAGAGGAGAATAAACATTTCCTGAACCATGATGTAAGCTGCCACAGTGAAGAGTTAATCCAAAGAGCCTTCATAAAAGTGTCACTTTCCTTTTAGGACTGAATCACAATGATGCAATGTAAGTTACTAGTTAAGAAGTGTTTTACAGTCAGCCCTTTGTATCTGTGGGTTCTGCGTCTGTGTATTTAACCAACCATGAATTTAAAATCTTTGGAAAAACTTGTGTCTGAACTACACCCACATAGACATTTTTTCATCATTATTCCCTGAACAGTACAATATAATAACTACTTACAGAGTGTTTACATTGTATTGGGTATTATAAGTAATCTAGAGATGATTTGAAGTATACAAAAGGATGTGCATAGGTTATACATGTAAGGACCAAGAGAATACTTTCCCCTTTGCCCTCTGAAGGTTTGCTGAAAATCACTGACAAGAGGCAGATTTGTTTTGTTTTGTTTAAGACAGAGTCTCCTTCCATTGCCCAGGCTGGACTACAGAGGCACCATCTCGGCTCACTGCAATCTCTGCCTCCCAGGTTCAAGCGATTCTCATTCCTCAGCTTCCCAAGTAGCAGGAATTACAGTGGGATTACAGGTGCACTAATTTTTGCATTTTTAAGGGAGGGATTTGCCATGTTGGCCAGGCTGGCCTCTAACTCCTGGCCTCAAGTGATCCACCCACCTTGGCCTCCCAAAGAGCTGGGATTACAGGCATGAACCACTGTGCTGGACCCAAGAAGCAGATGAACAGGAGAAAAGACATACAAATTTATTAACATGTATGGGAGCCTTCAGAATGAAAACCCAGAGATACAGAGAAAATTGTCCGTTGTTATGCTTATATTCAACAAAGTATGGACAGTTATGTAGAAATATGATTGGACAAAAAGGATATGATCTAAAGTTAATAGACTGAGTAGAGTTGCCCAACAAGACCTGTCTGTATAGATTCTTTTTGGCCTCTCTGCAGCATTCATTCTTTCTGGGTGTAAGGCAGGACCCTTTCTGGAATGGGAGTCTTTTTTTTTTTTTTTTGAGATTGAGTCTCTCTTTGTCACCCATAGCATGATCTTGGCTCACTGCAACCTCTGCCTCCTGAGTTCAAGTGATACTCCTGCCTTAGCCTCCCAAGTAGCTGGGATTACAGACGTGCACCACAACACCCAGCTAATTTTTGTATGTTTTAGTAGAGATGGGGTTTCACCATGTTGGCCAGGCTGGTCTTGAACTCCTCACCTCAGGTGATCCATCCGCCTCAGCCTTCCAAAGTGCCGGGATTATAAGTGTTAGCCAATGCGAGTCTTATGACCTACAGTTAACCAAAGTAGGTCAGATAATTTCTTTATGGCCTGTTTTTACACAGAAAGGCAGAGGGAAAGTTAGAGTAATATTTTAAGATTTTATGTAATCCCAGCACTTTGGGAGGCTGAGGCGGGCGGATCAACTGAGGTCAGGAGTTCAAGACCAACCTGGCCAACAGGGTGAAACCCCATCTCTATTAAAAACACAAAAAATTAGCTTGGCATGGTGATGTGTGCCTGTAGTCCCAGCTACTCAGGAGGCTGAGGCAAGAGAATCGCTTGAACTCGGGAGGTGGAGGTTGCAGTGAGCTGAGATTGTGCCACTGCATTCCAGCCTTGGTGGCAGAGCAAGACTTTGTCTCAAAAAAAAAAAAAAGAGTAAGTATTGTTTTACAATACTTTTATTTCATTTAGATATATGCTATAAAACATAGGGGCATATGCAGGTGTACATTGAATTACAACCTAAAATTATTTGTTACTGTGCATTGGAGTCAAATATTTTGGAAGCCGTGGATGTAGAGGCATTGCTTAGAGTGAGTGACACTGTATTCCAGGCTGCTTTCTCCTGTGCAGTTCTGCCACAGTTGGACTCACAGCCATCTGTTGGTGGCCTAACATGTCTAGCTCTGGTTTCAGTTCACTGAGGAAAGGAAGATGGATAGGGAAGCACAGTGCTGGTGTGATCCCTGACCTTAAACAGTTCATAGTATTGTCAGGACTACGACATGGTTATAGAAACAATTAGAGAACAGTAGAAGATGTGCTATTTTATTCATTTATTTATTTTATACTATGTGCCAGGCACTGTGCTAATCCTTTTTACCCTTATTAACTTACTAATAAATAAACTCTACAAGGTAGACACTCTTTTTTAAAAAAAAATGTATTGTGGTAAGAACATTAATATGAGAACTACCTTCTCTTATTATTATGTTTTGAGACAGAGTTACTCTGATCATGCAGGGGCAGATCTTGGCTCACTGCCACCTCCACTTCCCAGTTTCAAGGGATTCTCCTGCCTCAGCCTCCCAAGTAGCTGTGTACCACCACACCCAGCTGGTTTTTGTATTTTTAGTAGAAACAGGATTTCACCATGTTGGCCAGGTGGGTCTCAAACTCCTGACTCAAGTGATCCACCTGCCCCAGTCTCCCAAAGTGCTGGGATTACAGGTATGAGCCACCATGCCTGGCCTGAGAGCTACCTTCTTAACAAATGTTTAGATGTACAATACTATAGGGCCAACATTCTTATTATCTCCATTTTACAAATCAGGAGGTGAAGGCACCAATAGGATAAATCACTTGTCTGAGGCCACTCAGGTAGTAATGTCCAAATGGATATTACTGCTAGTAAGTGTGACCTTGGAGTTGAGTGGGATGACTGGGGTTTTCCCCCGTGAAAAGAGGTAGGTTTGGGTTACAGTTGGTTCTTTCATATCTTTGCTCTGCAGAGAAAAAGTCAGATGAGGCTGGGCGCGGTGGCTCAGCGAGCTGGCCAACATGGCAAAACCCTGTCTTTACTGAAGGAACAAAAATTAGCTGGGAGTGGTGGCAGATGCCTGTAATCCCAACTACCTGGGAGGCTGAGGCAGTGAGAATCTCTTGAACCCTGGAGGTGGAGGGTTTGTATTTTTAGTAGAGAGAGGGTTTCACCATGTCAGTCAGGCAGGTCTCGAACTCCCAACCTCAGGTGATCCGCCTTGGCCTCCCAAAGTGCTGGGATTACAGGCGTGAACCACCGCGCCCAGCCAATAAAAAATATTAACCACAGAAGTATGCTTTCCATGGTTGTAGGAGGACTGAATATTCTGTATAGAAACTGGGGTTTCTGAGGGAGTTTCAGTTTCCCAGCACAGTAATTCCTTGCTGGGTCACAGGTTGTAACTTGGAGTTATGAAAATATGGCCACCATACCTGTGTATGTTAGAGCTCATGGTAAGTACCAGTTAGTGTCTTGAGCAAAGCTTTTAATTGTCTGGCTAATAATTAATTTCATAGGTTAATAATTAAGGAAAGTCAGCCTTTAGGCTTTGAGCAGAGGGTTTCCGGATAAAAGTGGTTCCCTATTTTGAAACCAGTAAGTGTAAAAATCAGGTTCACCTATAAAATCCTAACTAGCTTCATCTGTGAATGGTGACTGGTGCACTTTACTCAAGGCAGAAATTGTTAGATGAATAATTAACATGCATGTGTATTTATGTGGATATATATATGTGCATGTATATGTACATGTTTATACAAATGTCTATATGTTGACCACATCTATACGTATTTGTCTAGCTTTTTAATTTATGGATGGGTACCATCTATAAAGGCATTAGGCTACTTTATAGATCTTAATATACTGTGTATTTAATATGTATGTGCTTCACACATATGCTTTGTATGTTGTACTTATTAAATCCTCACAGCAATTTTGTGGCATTAGTATTATTATTGCAGATTTACAGTGAAGAAATCTGGGCTTCAAATCCTTTAAGAGATTTTCTCAAGTTGCAGAGCTACCCTGTAGCTACTAGGTGTTGTATCTTAGAAAGAAGCTTGCCTTGGTCTGGGATGTATGTGACTGCGTATGGCTGCCTGGCACAATGGAATGAGCACAGTCTTTGGAAGGAGACAGACTGGATTTAGATGCAGCTTTTTCACCTACTAAGTGGCCACGTCTGCATCTCATAACTTTCCTGTTCCTTGGATTTTGAAACTATAAAATTAGAGTTACATGATAGACCTTTGAGAGTTTGTTTTTCCAGAGACCTATGAGCATCCACATGTTCAGTGTGTACTAGAAGGTTTCAACGCGTAGTTGTATTCGTGGCTAAGATTTATTACAGTGAAATGATACACAGCAGGGTCAGCAAGAGACAAGGGCACATGAGGTGGAGTGTGGAGAAATCCAGGCAGAGGTTCCTATGTTCCTCCTTCTTGAAGGGACTCCCTCCTCTAGCTGTGAAATGCAGTAACACGTGTGCAATATCTCTGCCCAGGGGAGCCCTTGTAGGGGCCAAGGGAAAACATCCCCTTTCCCGTCTGAAGGTTGGCTGAAAAATCAACTCACAAAAGACAGATCAGTTGGAGAAAAGGCAAACCAATGTATTAGTGTGTACACGGGGAGAACCAGAGTGATTACCTAATATCCCAATGCGGTACAGATGCTATGTCCCCTGCTTCTTAGAGGAAAGGGAGATGGGGAAGTGTGAATGATTTTTAGGAGGATTCAATAGGCTTGAAGAATATACAATGGCCTGCTACGAAGTCCATTGGGTCAGCAGAGCAGACCATGGTTTGTGACAAAACTCTG